GACAAATACAAATTTAAACCACATTATTGCTAGCCTGACTTAGCACACCAATCCCGTGAGTGTAGATAAAGTTGTTTGTTTAAAAATAAATAAATAAATAATACAAAAAGATAATGCGTGTACGTTCAATGGGATGCGAAATTCTAATCCTCTCCTAGGAAAAATCAGAGAGGAAGAGCATTGGTGGGATATTAGTGGAATCCTGGTAATTAAAAACAAATTAAATTAATAAATACTAATTATCTTGTTCCACTTTGGAAAAAGTAGGACATGGTGTGGGGGGGGGGGGCGAGACAAACCTCGACAAATATGAAGTTCTTACTCAAACAATATATTATTCGTAAATAAATGCAATGCTTTAAACTTTACACCGTTTTAGATAATCTGTTGGTACTGGATGGGAAAAGCATTCTTTTTAATTTTTTAAAAATGATTAGCTGATGGCTTCATCACGGTAATTCATCTTTTTGAGAGTCGGGACTCACAGAGGCATTTCAACATCTCTACTATCGTGCGATTCACCAATGTTAGAAATCGAACCTAGAACGTACTGTGTAGAATACGAACCTAAAATTCATCTTCAACCACGGGATCACCCGTGATGGTTTTGGGTGGAAAAGTTGGCCGATGATCCTTTTGGTAAACATTCAATCATGCAGGAATATATTATGCGTCAATGCGTCGGTCGGTGTCTCACTTTTGAATTTGGAAGTCGCATCTCCTGGCATGCAAGCTAGCTAGCTAGGTCCACTCCGTCGATATTAGTTTGCTTAAGTGAGTGTTCAATCTTAGTTTAGTGATGCTCGGTGCTTTGGTGACATCTTTCAACGTTGCGAAGAGAAGTACGGAGAGTGTAGTTGTTGTGGATTGAGCTTTTGTAAACCGGGCTTCAAACAAAATGAATCGACACCTTCGTTGTAAATTTGAAGTATGATCTTATGCTGAATTTTAGGATGATTTCATGGGTTGGGAAAACAAAATTATGTATCAACTTATGAAATTCTGCTACTGTAATTGGGGTGACAAATTTGAAAGAATACAAAAGAAAAAAGAATTGCTTACTGCTTGAATCAAACCGAGTTTTGATCCATTTTCCTCTTCAAAGACACGTTGAATTAAACTGCTGTTTTGATTGTTTTCCTCTTTACAGACACATTTTAGTCTCCGTTTTGATCCGTTTTCCTCTTTACAGACACGTTTTGGTCTCACGTGTGGAAAGAAATATATTCTATGTAAAGTTTATTCTACGTGAAATTTATGTTGGATTTCTTAACAAATCACTAGTGAATTTCACGATATAACACGAACATGATCGGTTTTTAACGCGTCTTAGCAGATTCACCCCTTATCGAGCATTAACGCTCGACCCAAACATTAATTTTCATGCATATCTGAGTGATGCTATTGAGTTGTACGTAATTTTACCAGACTAATCAGTACAAATTGTGCTACCACAGTACCAAGAAATGACAAATAATTGCAAGCCTGCTTCTGTAGTGACCTCAACCAAAATACATTTCAGGCATCCAGGTCAGTTGGAAAAAACTTCTCGGTTGATGCTAATTTGGAAATAAACAACTATTCTGAACAAGCCACAATATGCACTCAACACCCCAAAATTTCGTGGTCCACGAAACGAGACGACATCAGTTTACTACAATTCACTGATGTTCATCAAGCGATCCTCTTAAACGAGCAGAACTGCATTAACACACCCGTCGTTCTCTGGATTATTTGTCACCTGAGCATACTTCCCTGCATCAACCACAAAGAAGAGACAAATGCAGCAACAAGTCAGAATCTAAACTATCCGCCTTTAAAAGAGTGATGGCAAAGCTATAAATGAGATGGCATCAGATAAAATGCCGACCACCACAAAAAAGGCTGAACTCACCCCATACAACTTTCCCAGCAGGTGTGACTAGACCGAGTTCACTGACATTCACCTGATATCCACAAAATAAGTAGATAGCGTAAAACACCAAGGGATTGGCATTATAAATGGTCATAAATGATCACATAATGAAAGATTTACCTCAATGATGGTTCCCTTGGTCAACACACCAAGAGATGTATACATTTGACCATTAGGATTCTTCTTCACACCAATGATCTCAAGGTTAAAAGTGGCTTTAAGTTCAGGGTGTGTCACGTGAGCTTTGGTGAATCGCAATCCACTGGGACGGATAAATCGCTCATACTTAGGAGGTTTCCTCGTGAAACCAGGTCCCACCAATGTAGCTTTTGTGACCATCCTCTTCCATTGCTTGGCTACAAAAAAGAATTGAGCAAATAAGCAACAGAGGACTAAGTAATACATTCACATGAAAATACTGGCATCAGTTTCAAACTTTCAATTATCCTCAATGTCATGTTATACGAACTTTAGCTTGATCGCATTTAGGCCGGAAATCATTATAAACGATAAATTTAGACAATAAATGAACCAACAGCACACTTTGATTGCTATGGAAGTAGAGAGGAAGAAGTTGGAGATACTTACTCTTGCGTTTTCCAGATCTAAGAATTTTGAACATCTCATCTTCAGCCACAGGCCTCACCTAGAGAAGATATAAAACTGTCAGAACATTATATCAATGATTAGCATACAATAAAAAATGAGTCGCACAGAAAAACAGAGAAAAAAAGAAAAAGCGTGGCATGTGCTCTTACCTTGGGCAGTGGGACTTCCCATTTCCCAGCTTTCTCCTTCCGCTTTTGCTTAATGGTGTTGTTCAGAATCTATTTCCAGCATAACGTCAGATAAGAAACATGAACAAATATCTTCCTTTTTAAGAAAAATATCTATTAATAGCTGGAAATCCGTACTTTCGCACGTGTTGTATTGACACGATCGATCAAATATGCGGGAATAGAGCCTTCATGAACATCATCATCCACCTTGCGCCTAGTTGATGACTCCTCATGCATAATCAACCTGTGGGCATTCACAAAACATAAATTTAACTCTACATATATGTAAATCGTCAGTAGCATAACAAACAAAAGATACAATAAGGAATCAACATAAAGACAATAGCCACTAAACAATATAAAAAGCCACAAATAAGGTTATGTAAAGTGTAGCTTATGCAGTTTAAATATGAATGTAACTATGTCTATGTGTATATGCAGCAGCAAATTAATAGTCATGACAAGTGCAATATGAAACAAACTGTTAGAAGCACATCATATGAATGTAGTTTAAGTGCTGTAAGGTACATCTCAACAGTCTATTCTACTGGGAAAAAGACACTAGAGAACTCACGTTTTCTTCATGAGAGCCTTTTCAGCATAGCGCTTCTTAGCAAACATCTTACCCTTGATACCTAGGGCCTGTTCCAATACAAACATTCCAAATGAACAAAATAAGCTTAAAGTTCCAATTTGATTGTCACTTTCCACGAAAAATAAAGGAAAAGGATTGGAATTGACCTTCTGAGCAGTCTCAGAACGCTTATGGACGAGACGAGCCTCCTTCTTGCGCTTTCGCTCGAAGTGGTCAGGTCGGTACCCATACCGCTTCCTGTGAAGGTCTATGTAATCTCCCTGCGGCTGAATTTCACAAAAAAACATTGCCATACAATATTAAATGCGTCCTACACATTATGAACGCTTAAACGAAATACAGCAAAGAGAGATGGAGAACAAACCATAGCTACTAAAAATTTGTCACTCCCGGTTTGTTGTCAGAAACTGTCACACAAAGAGCAAAACTGTCACACAGTAAGCCTCAGGACAAATCTATAAAACCATAATCACAAACATAAATTTAATTGAAACTAAAATGGTTAACTATCAGGGAAAAAAAGAACCAAAAAAAAAGAAAAAAAGAATAACCATCTAACAGTAACAAAAAGGATTTTCCTTGACCTGGCTTACTTCCTATCCTGTGATATCATCCAATACCAACCACGTTCAAAACAAAATTTCAGTCATTTAAACTTTCAAACTAGTCGAAGACTAGAGAGACAAGAGTAAGGATAGGCTGAGAGGAGGAGATGCGGCTGTAAGTGGTTTGAGAGAGGGTTGATGAGGAGGAAGGACTTTGAAAGGAACTCTGTGAGTTATCTGTGGCTAGGGTTTCTAATTTGTGGGTTAAATGTTTTGGAATGAAGCGGCTCTAGCCCCGGATCCCATAGTTCTATAAAAAATAGCATCCTTTTTTCACATATTAGCACTAGTATACCCTATAAACGCATATCACCCTTTTTTCACTTTATTATAGAAACCCAAATAAAGAGCTTCTCCGAATCTCCCTCTCCGCCCTTTGTCTAACATGCACCCTAAATTCACACGGTTTCAATCCACAAAACTAATCACATTTTTTTTTAAGTCGAATGTAAAATCACATTTCTGCGTATACAATCATGTCCTATGAGCAGAATTCTGGTAGTGCTTATCGAAACGGAGGACAAATCACAACTCCAAAACATCATACAAAGTTACAAACATCAGAAAATTCTACTCTGCACAGACAGCATTGCAACTTCAAAATCTCAAGACTCGAGCTTTAAATTCACCCCAAAAATTGAAATATATCTTCACATATATTAGAAATGCAGAAATACATATTCAAATTTGCTCTTTCCTTTCACCCACGTTTAGCCAAAATACGCAATCACATATTTCACCTCTTTTATTTCAGAAAATAATTTGACAATAAATAAACAGGAGGTGAGTAATAAACAAAATAATTTCAAGAAAAAATATGGAATTAAAAAACGCCATATGAAGAACCAGTCGGAGTCAAAGTTCATACCTGTGAGTTTCAGTAAACCCTAGGGCCTAGGAAGAAGACGGAAGGAGGAGATGAAGAGCCAACAGGAAGAAGGCGGTGAACTGATTGGGCAGGGAAGTGCTCGGGGGTTTAGGATATATAGGTTTGTTTGTTGTGATAGACTGTGCGAAGGAACATGGTACACATCTGAAAGGTCAATCAGAAGAAGCCACGTGTCCAGTAATATAGAGAAAATTGAGAAAATAAAATAAAGGCCCATATCCGGCCCAGCTCACCCACCCCTTTCTCCTCCTTCTCGTCTTCAACCTTCACGGCAGCTCATCCGCCGTAAGCCCAGCTGACATCACCAGCTCCGCCGCAAACTTCACCCTACTTAAATTGTGAAGGGAAATGGCAGGCAGTGTGAAAGGTGACGGTACGGAGGAGTTTAAAGGCCTTAGAATCACATCACTGGACGATGACAGCGACGAAGAAGAAGAACAGAAAGAGCCAGATGTTGCTATGGATGACGATGACGAAGAAGAGGAAGACGAAGAAGCAAGAAATTCTGTGATTTTAGGTTTTGTGAAAAAGCCTAAGAAATCCCGCTCTCTTCTTCGCCATTTCTTTCCCTCCAAGGCTGGAGGCGTTCCCGTATGCCATTAAACCCTTCAATTTCAATTTACATACTAGTCGGACTTTTCTGATGTTTTGGCTTGTCATATAGGCTTGGCTGGATCCAGAAAACTTGCCGTCCGGAAGATCTTGCTGCTGCGACATATGCGGTGAACCTTTGCAATTTGTGCTTCAGGTGAGGGATGCTTGAATTTCATTGATCAGATTATATCTTTATTATGCCATTTTCAAGTCGAGGGCGAGTTGGTGTAACAGAACGGAAACGTTGCTCCTTTGTGACATGTGATCAAATGGTCACGGTTCGAATCGTGGAACAAGCCTCTTTGCATGCAAAGCAAGAGTAAAGCAGCATACATACGAGTTCCTCCCCGACTTTCGCAGAGCGGGAAGCCTTGTTTGCTTGGGGTCGCGCTTTTTATGCCATTTTCAAGTAGTAAAAGTTGACAATTAGATTGTGATATTTGGTCTTTGTGTTTATTGGGTGGCTAGGTATATGCGCCAGAGGAGAAGGAATCTGCATTTCACCGAACATTGTTTGTGTTTATGTGTACGTCAATGGCGTGTCTTCGTCGTGATCAACATGAACAATGGAAATGCCAGCGGGACGAGCCCTCTAGAAGGTATTGTTCTCCCTATCATGTCTATACCAAAGGATTTGTGGTTTTTTTTCTTCTGATTATGTGATGTTTTTTCTTATAGCGTGAAGGTTTTCCGCTGCCAATTACCTCGCGATAATCCTTTCTACTCAAGTGAGCCTCCGAAGAAGGATAGTACGGAGGATCCTCTTATGGCTGGAGGTAGCATCTTGTATCAGTTAGCATTTACAGTTGCTAGCTTTTGCTTATGAATTATTGCCAGATTGTTTTAGCTTGTTCAACCTTGTTTATGTATATTTATGCTCCTTCAGTATTGCAATTTGACGTCTTTTAAACACTCTTCCAATTGAAGGGATCTTTTGATGATATTTGCCTTTTGATTGTTGTAGCTGCACTATGTAATTGGTGTGGTACCTGGAAGGGGAGTAAACGCTGTACTGGTTGCAGAAAAACACTTTATTGCTCAGAGAAACATTGGGTAATTGGATTTTTTGGGTTTCTGCAGCATCTTTTTTCCCCTTTGAAGTAGCATCAGCCATCCTTAAAGCATACCAAATATGTTTTGGTGGTTTGTAGGTCAAGCATTCTCGGTCTGGTCATGAACATGATTGTCAACGATTGAGGATTCAGCTGGCCGACAGTAGCTCTGCTAACAGTGAAACCACTTCTGCTGTAGTTCTAAAAGGCAAGTACGAAGTTGTATTTTCTTGGGAGGAGTTTTGGGTCGGCAATTTAACTGCACTTTTGAGATTTGGTGGGTTGGGTTCAAGATCTTAATACACTCTCTTGTTTTTCAATTGTGAACAGTTGCAAGTAATAATCTATGGCCAGAGTACAAAATTATACAGGAGCCTGAAAGTTCATATTACACGGAGATGCCTGATGAGAGTGTGGGCACTAATTCCTTGGTCTCTAGTAACCGAATGGATGATGGGCTAATGTCGATAGCAGACAATTTTACGGTATTAATTGTTGTTCTCTCATAACTAACATTTATGTTGTCTATGTATTGGTAGAAATGAAAGTTGTGCTCTTCTTCCTTCATTTTTTCTCTGATAAGAGAATAATAGTTTTTAGTTGCTTGAACTCTTACACGTTTATACCTCTGTAAAAGGGTGATGGTGATAGAAAGAGCTGGGCTTCATTCCACGTGCGCATAGCCCTGGCCCCTGAACAAATACTAAGGTGAATTTTTTTTTGGATAAATCCATTCAAATCAAGATACAGATTTCTGAAGGATGTGACTTGGTGCAGAGTGTTACTTCAAAGTTTTTTGCGCTTGTTACATTCCTTGGCTTTCATTGATCATAACCACTATTTTACTTCACAATAGTTGATCCATTTCCATTTTTTTTCTTCCAAATAACAGGTATTGTAGGAGTTCCGGTGCTAAACCCTTATGGCCTGTGTCAAGTGGCCGGCCATCCACGGCTGATATTCCTAAATGTAGTTATTGTAGTGGCCCAATGTGTTTTGAATTTCAGGTACCAGATATAACAATTGTTCGTTTTGATTGAAGCTCGATTCCAAGTTTGTGCATTTCAGTTTCTTTTACTACCACGACTGCCCGTTTCGTTCTAGTCAAAATTTTAACCTTGTGAGTTTTATTGGCTTCAGATTATGCCTCAGTTGCTATTTTACTTCAACGTGAAGAACGACGTGGACTCTCTTGATTGGGCTACAATCGCCGTGTATACATGTGAAGCCTCTTGTGATGCAAGTGTGGTTTACAAAGAAGAATTCGCTTGGGTTCAACTTTCTTAGCCATTTGCTCTCTTGCCAATACTTTGTACCGTCTAGATATGAGATCAAGTCTTGCTAGTATTAGTCTTAAATCAAGTGTTCTGTAGTTTTCTTATTTATCGGAACGATAGATTTTGACTGTCAAAAACTTCCACAGTTTTTGTATCGGAGTGATGTGAGATTTTGATCATGTGCTCAACTCTTACCCAGATTTTCTTTCTGGGCAATTTTGTTGGTATAAGTAATGTTTGAGACATGAGAACCGATGTGTTCATGTCTAACTTAATCCATATGTCTAACTCGATCCATATGAAGAGTTGGCTTAAAGTGCATTACCTTTGTCTTGGATCATTCCAACTAAAGCATTCTCATCTCCTTTACGCTCATTTTTTGCACGTATTGCTTTTTGATCGCCCAACATTTCGTGCCATAATGGCTGGCTTTATTGTTATCTTGTAAAATTTCGCTTGAGCTTTAGTGGCATACGACGATACCGCAACACACCCAATGCACTATTCCACTTCATCCATCCAGCTTGTATTTTACGGTTGAGCTCTCTATATAGTTCTTCGTTATTTTGCAAGATAGATCCAAGACAACGAAAAAATTCATAGCAGCAATTAAAAAAAAAGCGTGTGCTTGCGATCTTCTAAACTGCTTTAATCTACAATAAAAAAGAAAAGATAGTTTGAACCGAAACGCATATTGTTCCTTTTTGCATAGATATTTTACCCAAATATTGTTTATTTTTTATTTTTCAAAAATAATGCAGTCCTGCTCCTGCATTGAGTGTTGAAGGGTTGTAGCCGGGTAGGACATAGCGTCCGGCAGAAGCTTACTAATTATGAACCATTTTGTAATACTTATATAGCTTTCACTAAATAATTTCATCCGCATCTAACTGTCGATGAACGTTAAAAGATCGTCATCCCACATTTTTATGAACGATTATGTACCATGAATATGTGTGACTCTTGTAGTGGACCTCACATGCATTTGACGGCCAATTCATGCACGATTATCAGCCGTTTACACACAGTTTTCATAATAAATCTCGAACGCATTTAGCGGTCAAACGAATGTTAAAGATAGTTGTGTCACGTATTTATAATCGCTTACTGGACATTAAACACGCGGCCCTCACGGTAAATCCACACGCATTTAACGGTCGCTGCCCGTGGCCTCGGAAAAAAGCAATTAAACAAAAAAAAAAGGAAAAACAGAAATAAAAACCAATTGGAAACACAATATGCAAGGAACCCAGAAAGCCAGACCCCATTGAGGGAGATACAGACAGATTCTTCTTCTGTATTTCTCTGTGTACGTATTACACAGAAACTGAGCAAAACCTTGGTTTTCTCTCTCTAGGAGCAGTTCAAGGTTTGCGTTTTCATCATCGTCCACCTCAAAGATGGTGAGCACTCTCTATTTTTCAGCTTTATTTTCTTATTCCATGATTTTTGTGTTAAATTTCTTCGATTCTGATTGGTTCAGTTTCATGTATGCTTATTGTTCCTGACCAGTCTCTCGCTTCTCTACGGTTAATTTTAACTTTTACTCTGTAATGTTTCACTTTTTCATGATTTGTTCTGGATGTGACTTGTTCTGCAAATTATAGCAACTTTTTCACTCCTGTCAGACCAAAGTTTCGATTTTTAGTAATATTTCATGTATTGAGAAGTTGGGAAAGCTGAGAAAAGGGATTAAAAGATGTGTGTTTTGAGTTCGAGAACGTACACTGGTTAGGGAGTTTTCGGGCTTTTTTGGTAGTGAGATCAGTTAAAAAGAGGCTGTTGGTTTCTTAGGTTTTGAAGAAAATTGATGTAAAATTAAATTTATGGCAGGGAAAACCTTTGTTGATGTGAATTTGAGGAAAATTTGGTTATATTTGGGTTTTCTTGACGTAAAAAGTAACCTATAGTATTGGTAACACAAGACAGAGCCCATTACCCAACTTTTCATTGTCCTCTTAAAAGATTACCCACATTTAAGTTACATTTTTGCAAAAATTAGTTCGTGGATGTTGATGTTATGCTAATCATATACGTTCATTTGTTTGTGCGCGCATACACTTGCGAATACCTGAATCAATATGCATGCATAATTTGGTTTTGTACTCCCTCTCTCCGCTTCACCTTGGATTCTCTTTTTGACAGAACAAGTTGGGTAAAGGGCAACGCGATAAGCTCCAGCAGTTCATCATGATAACTGGAGCGAGGTAATCCGACAATCATATGCAACTTTTCTGTTTTTCTTCATTTCACGTCTTTGAATCCATTGCAGTTTTACTCAGTGGTTTTGCTAGCTTATGCATGTCATGCATTGATATTTAGAGCACCATTTAAAACCAGTTGACATTGCATGTTGAATCGATCATGAGGATTTTAAAATGTTACATATAACTTCAACTTAATTTTTGCCTTTCTAAGGGACACGTGATTGTGTTGTGTTAGATTTGGTTGAGTTGAGCAGTTTTAATCGTCAGCTTGTTTATGTATCTTTTGAAGTTGAATTGGTTTAATTGGTCTGTGCACACACATATGTGCTTTGTATTAGACTGGTGGGCGTGTATCGTACCTTTTTCTACCCTTTCTCTTGAGCAGTTTTTGTGTGATTCTTGGATTGAGTAGTCTAACTCCCCATCATATGCAGTGAAAAAGTGGCTCTGCAGGTTCTGAAGGAGAGTGATTGGCATCTTGAAGGAGCGTTTGATATCTTCTACACTCAGCCCCAGCTGCAAGCAGAGACTGATTCTAATACTGATTCTAATACTAATTCTAGACAATTGGAGGAATTATACAATACATATAAAGGCAAGCTTTACCTTTCCATTCACTCTTGTCCTCAATCTTAGACATTAGTGTATATCTTTTGTTCACATTCATAGGAAATAGAAAGGACAGAGGTGTAATCAGTTTATAAATTCACAAGCATGCGGTGTCATCAAGTTTGTAATAGCTGAATTTGGTTGGAATCCTATTACTTTAGTTGTGAACCCAATGGATTTTTTTTCCTTCAAGCTTCTTCATCAATTGTCTTACTCAAATATATATTCGCGATACTGGATTGGTTCATACTTATGTACTTGAGGATTAGTGATAATATTGCACATACAAATATAAATTTCTCATTTGTGATAAGTGATACTATAATAGCATTGTACCTAAAATCAAATGTTTCTTTCTTCTTCTTCTTTTTTTTTTTGGTAATTTTTAACCTAAGTTTATATGGTTAGCAGAATTTTCTTTTCACTAATAGAATAATTTTTTTTTTCTCAGATCCAGATGTTGATATGATACTTGTTGATGGTATCAGCCTCCTTTGCAATGATCTTCAGGTAACTGTTTGGTGCAGATATTAACCTGTCTCAATCATTTGTCTTTAATATTGTTTGTTTCTTATGATTGTTTTCTTTCATTTTCTTGTTCTTTTAATTTGATTGACATACTAGCTGTCATGATTTGACAGGTGGATCCTCAAGATATAGTCATGGTAGGTATATTCGAATAAACCTTGTTATGGTTAAGATGTGCATGCCTACAAAGTTCCTTTCAAGTCCGCCAAATTACTGTTTAGGCAATGTAAAAATTAAATTCTACGAAGTTCTGTCTATTTGAGCTAAAGAACCTTCTTGCTTGAAAATTCAACAGAAATTCTGACAAAATTTCATATAGATATAGTGATTTTCTGGCTGGGGCCTTCCACATGTATGTGCACAGTCTAACATAGATTTCTAGGGGATTAAATGTTACATTTTCAAGTTTGGAGACTAATGTGTAGCGGGCTAAAATTTTGGGACATTGGTGAAATTTACCTTGAACTACATAAAAGAGAAATTGTGATGCAGGTAATGAAGATATTGTCATATGAAAAGTAACCTTCATGAAAATCAAATATATGTTTCCAATTTGATTGGTTAACTTTTGTTTTTTTATTTGCCTACATTTTTTCAACTTAACCTTGTGACTTGGCTGGTTATTTTTGGTACAATGGGCTGTTGATGCAGTTAGTTGTTTCTTGGCACATGAAGGCAGCTACCATGTGTGAATTTTCCAAAGAGGAGTTCGTAGAGGGATTAGAACCACTAGGGTAGGTACAAAGGATTTTGATGTTTTTTATATTCTTCTAAACCTCAAATTATAATAGGTACATAGTCTATAACTATGAGAGAAATTCAATTAACAGAAGTTTGTGTTATTTGATGGCAGGATAGATTCTTTGGACAAGTTTCGTGAAAAGATACCATTTATGAGATCCGAGCTGAAAGATGAACGTAAGTGAAATGTGATTATAGTTTTATTTAAGTAATTAAAATTTTATTTGTATATCATTTTTTTGGTTTTTTGTGGAAGATATTCATGATGTTAACATGTATTTGTTCAAATAGCATAACTGTAATGTAAAGATATTGATGTGACTTGAATTTTGCGAGAGTACCTTTTTATTGCTGACATGATCTTCTTTTTATTTTCCAGAAAAGTTTCGAGAGGTATATAATTTTGCTTTTGACTGGGCAAAAGAAAAGGTATGTGTTTATACTTTTTAGCGCATGAAGAATTTTATTTGTTGCATTCTAGACGGTGCTTATATCTCAAATTTGATAGATAAAACTAGAAATGAGTTCCTTGACATATATTATGATTCATGAACAAAACAAAAAAAAAAAATATCTGATACGGTATCTTAAATAAATTCTGGTATTAATTTGTGTGTGTGTGTGTGCACGCGTGATTATATTCCGCGTTCATAATCATATACACGTATATTGCTTCATTTTCATTTCAGGGTCAGAAATCTTTGGCATTGGATACTGCAATTGGAATGTGGCAATTAGTGTTTGCTGAAAAGCAGTGGCCGTATGTTGAACATTGGTGTCAGTTCTTACCGGTAAGTTACAAAATTTATTATTTGTTGAAAGTAGCTACGCTGGGCTTGCAGTAATCATTTATATTATCGGATAGGAATCGTTGCCAAGGAGTTCTGATAAATGTTACAGTTTCTCTGCAAAATGGAGGCCTCATGTTGTTACCTTTATTCCTGCATCATTCTTTTACGAAATCATTGTCACGCCTGTTACATCTTTAGAAAGTATGTTTGCGTTGATTTGTTGAAATGGCATTATACATCCCAAATTGATTGTGAGAAATACAAAATTACCAGCAAAAATATTGTGGTATCCCATACTGCCACAGTATCATAATTTCTTGTATTCTAGGTTATTATTTTCTTGATTTGTTCCTGTTAATATATTTTCCGTCCTTGATTCCATCATTTCAGGCTCGGCATAACAAGGCCATTTCGAGGGACACATGGTCTCAACTATTGGAGTTTGCAACGGTACGATACCAAGCATCTATGTAACCAAAAAAAAAAAAAAAAAAAAAAAGGAACAATGCTACCCATTTCTATTCTTTTTATTTCATTGGTTAACTTGATATTCTGCTTGTAGGCTGTGGATCCGTCACTGTCAAACTATGACGCGGAAGGTGCCTGGCCATATCTGATTGACGAATTTGTCGAGTACTTGAAGGAGAACGGAGCAATCCAAAAGGGTTAATTGCCTGAATGGAGCCAGAACTGATTAGGACTGCTTTTTGGTGAATTAGAAGTCTCTCAGCTTATTACTGTGATTGAGGAGTACTGCCCTGTAATTGAACTCGGTTCGTCTTCAAAACACGACGACCAAAACCTCGCTCTAAAATATATGATTTTTACACTTTACAATCGGTTAGATCGTTGGTCTGGAATGTATATTATCTGGTACAATTTTTGCCTCTTTGTTTCGTGGAATATCTAGTACAATATCTGAATAAGTGAAGCCAGCATCTGGAACTTACATTCTGTCTAAACAAAAATGAAATTCATATCTAACGAAAAGGAGATACTCTCTTATGCGATCAAAACACGTCATGTGGTGAGCTTTTATTGACCGAGCGTTTCATTTTTTGAACATATGGTTCGTCAAATGAGTGATGTTCCAGAGACTATGCATTGGTTGCAAGAGGGAGACTATGCATTGGTTGCAAGAGAAACGAAAGAGGTAAGAGAACCAAGAAAATGAAAAGTACTACAAAAGGCCATCCGGATATTGTTTACAAATGGCAACTTATAATTATACATTAGCTGCCCTCCTTATTTCAGTAGTGCTGGGTCCTCTCTTGTTCCTCAAATCTTGTTCATTTATTTACGCTCTCACAAAGGAAATCTTGTTCTTTTCCCTATTGCATAATTACTATTAAGTACAAAATGAAATTAATAATAAAACTCAAATTTATCAATAAACCCTCACACTATAACTAAACCCTAGCATCACCCTTTGTTTATCCTACATTCTTTCCGGCTAAAACCCTAATAGCTTTGATAGAGAATAACAAGCTTTTCTATTGATTGATGATGATTTTGAAGTTTTGAATCCTCCAACTAAGGTATGACTCGATTTATGGATATTTTGTTCGTTTGCTTCTTCTTTGGATTAAATTTCATACTTTTTATATTATATTGTATTTGTTTTTCTCTGCATGTGTCTGTCTGTGCCCCAAAACACCTTGTAAGGACTTTTGATTAGTACTTAAAAGATATATAACTTGATTCTTGGTGTAGATAAAGACAAATAATAAAGATGAGAATTCCAAACAGCAATTAACTTCTACAACCTGGTAGTGTGATGTCTTCCTGACTCGCGTGATGATTATCATAGGCCCTGAGGAAACAAGGTTATTTGCATCGTACATTCATTTAAAAGAACAGAAAGATGAATGAAAATGACTTAATGAGAATATTGCCCCTCAATGAACATGCCTCCATCCAAATTCAAAGCATCAAGGCCAAATGTTTCCGGCAAAGTGACGGATTGAATTGGAGCTTTCATTGCATTATGTGGCAAATTCAAGTCTATGGATGGGTTTGGTAGCATAAAGAAAAAAAAGCAGCCATGGAAATGCCAGTCCTATACGGCATATGCAATTATAGAAGGGCAAAGGATGCCTCTTTGAATAGAAACATTCAATTAGAGATATTATTCTATAAAGGGAATGGGTGTAAATATAACTTTACATTTTGAAAAAGTTTTGAGAGGGTGGTTTAGGTAATAAATTTGGGTTTAAAGAGAGATTATTCTTTAATAAAAAACAATATGGATGAAGAGAGTAAGTTGGGTGTATAAAGAGGTTATATGAGTTCAAATAAGATTTCCCTTTTATAAAACAATTTTGTATAAACAAAAATGGGTGAAACTATGTTTGGCAGACTGTTTTGTGAAAATAAACTTAGAAAACGAAAAATGCAGAAAACAATGGCCTATGTGTCACGGCTACCATAAACTATCGCCACTACGACCACCACAACAACCACCGCTACCATCTTTCACACCACCACCTCCACCGTCTCACCACTCCACCGCCACTATCTTACCATGACCACCACCGCATGCACCTCCGCCTCCACCACCGACTCCACCACCACCATATTATCCACCGCATCACCCGCCCCCACCCCATGCACCTTTCACCACCATCACCACATTCTCAACCCCATTACCTCACCACGGCCACCACCACCTCTGCCATCTCCACCCTGTTACCTTCACTACTACCACAATTCCAACCACCATTGCTACCGACACCACTGTGACCAGCTCTATTACCACTGTCGGCTATTACTACCGAACAGTTGTAAATAGGGAAAAAGAGTGAGAACCTTTGAGTGAACAGGGATTAACAAAACACTATGTTTATTTTCTTTACTGAAGTCAAGCAAGAGAAATGAACATAGAGAAGGAGAGGTGACGAAAACAGAATTGTTACTTTCTGTTTTTCATCCCTTTGTACTACCGGTGCGATACAAACATACCTCTATATATAGAGAGATTTCCACCCGAAATCTCTTTTAATGCATGTAGAAAGCTTACACTCCAAAATAGTAAAAACTAAACTTCTACGTATTTGAGGCATATAATTTGCTTTCATCCTCCATCCTTAGCCACATACTTGTTTTATGTGGGCATATTCACATTAGTAACCTTATCATCTTTGTAAGCTCTTCAAATCTTGCTCCGAATTTACATACTTGAATTCAGAGAATATATTTTTTCTTCAGTGTTGCATTTCTTTTATTTGTTGCCGATTTTGAAGGCATATAGAGAATAACAAATTGGCTAGCTTGCCAAGCTTACAAACTGTAACCTCTTCAGAGAAGTACTATGCAAGGTTATAAACGTGACAGTACATCGTAACCTAGAAAATTTATTGAGATATTTGCTATTCATCCTGTAGTTGGGGACTCTATCGATAATTGCATAATCTTCGAAGAGTCATCTCTTCAGAGAAGTACTATGCCAGCACCCGTTAAGCACTAAAACCCGAACACAATGGTTACATGTAGTAGAGAGAAACGGGGAGAGGGGTACTGGGTACATCCTTTCCCAAAACCCTCCCAAGAAGGAAATCATTCATTACTTATATGTCAAAAGTTTTGATTGTATTCATGTGAAACTTTGCTTCTATATGCTCCCATAATAACGTCACCTCTTGTACCCTCTTTTTGGGAATTATTACATTGTTGAAGCCTGAATGTGGTCACCAGGAAAATTTGTGATTGTAAAAAGAAATTTTCGTCATGCTTCAAGTCCTTACTTTCACTATACACACAAAGACAACTGACATAAGAGATACTCTTGTCACCAGGCCATCACGTGACAAGTTCTTAATAGACGAATAGTGTAGTTTTTGAACCCATGACAAACACATGTTTGATGAGTAAATCTATCGAAACTATGTCATGGTTTCCAGAAAGAATCTCTCCAGCAGTATAGTGATGGGTTTTGATTAAGAGGACAATTATTTTCTAATTTTTGTTCCTTATTGTAAATAGAATTATAAGTAGACTTCCACATATATATAAATAGTATTGCTATCTTTTATATATTTATAACTTTTTACATGTTTTATACAATTTTAAATTCGGAAGCAACACTTTTGCTAGCCATTGGGGGCTATATATGCGTGGTGGCGTCCAGTGTGATATCAACTTGAAGATGTAAGGTGGCGAGATCAATTACTGCACCATGTTGGATATTATATTTGTGGTGTATGATGATACTATAGTCTATACCTACATTTTTTCTTTTCTTTTTGTTACATGTTTTGCATGTGATCCAATATCCTAATGAATAAGATGTTGAGTTTTCACTCATACGCAACGTCCCCTAAATTATTGTAATACCTACAACAACAAAAATGAGAAAAGAGACTCAACTATTGCGAGAACTGTTATGTATGAGCTATTTCCTTCAATCAGTGTTACATGCATATGCTATTGCTGTGAGAAGGAAGATGATAATAATGCACTAAACTGCCCATGAGACTAAACTACAAAGGTTAAAAGAGTTAGCCAATATGCGTTGACATAATCCTATCTAATTTTTCCACATAACAAGATTATTTTGATAAACTTCGAGCAAGTTTAGTATACTAAAAGGAAGTCCAAGGTAAGTCATTTTTTTTGGTGAACGATAAATGATATCGATAAGAATTAGAGATGAACTGATACTAGCTTTGACATCAGCGGCTATGATATTGAACATACCTCAGAGTAACCAAATTAAGGAATAAAACAGAAAATTAAAGTTGTCTCATTGTAAATTTGGAAAGAAAACAGAAAATTAAAGCTGTCCCCATTGTAAATTAGGGAAGAAAACAGAAGATTGAAGTTTTCCCAATATAAATTAGGGAAAGAGAACAGAAAATGGAAGTTGTCCCATTGTAATAAAAAGAGACTGGCTACCACAGTACTGTAGATGACTTTGTTTCCTTGATCAAACCCTGAAAATTCATACTATAAACCCTAGGGTCTTAGGATGTCTCTACGAAACCATACTATACAGTGTTGGAATAAGAGAGAGTTGTAGCTATAAGGCAACTGAAAAATACTGAAGAAAGAAGGGCATGGCGACTTTCGCAAGGAAGCTCTTTGTGCTTGTTTTGTTGCTCATCATCCTTCTAACTTCTGGTAATTAAGTACTCTCACTCTCTCCCTCTCACGCACACAACAAACACAATTATGGATAATCTTTTATACATCATTTGTGTTATTGACATTCAGATGAGACAGTGAAGAACACTGAAGCTGTTGGACAAGAACAAATGAAGAACACGAAAGCTGTTCAAATTGGGGATTGCACGGAACATAAACTTATTGGCTTTTGCATCAAGACCCGGCCGCATCTGTAATAGGAAATGCATAAATCAGGGTTATGAGGGCGGCAAATGCTCCGCGTTCCTCTGCGCGTGCGACAGGCCTTGCCCTACCTAAAATAATTCCTAAATAAAATTACCATGCAAATTGCAAGAGCAATTAGTGTGGTGATGATAGCATTATTTTAAGTTAATTATGATTAAATAATTGAGCTAGTGAATTTGTTAAGGTACATTATATATGTGTATCATGAAATAAGATGCATGAGATTTTCGTATCATGAATCAATGAAATTAGTATAGGAAGTGACTTTTTTATATATAATTAAGCTATAGCCGACGCACAATCATAATCTTTTTGAGGTCTAATTTTCCTTTGGTGTTATCACACTTGGATAAAAGTTTATGATACACAACGAGAATATGAACCAAAACACATCATTCAAAAACAAAAGAACATAGATGTTACCTTCGGTTAGAAAAATTACAGCCCTCAAAATTGACAAATTTTTAAGAATAATCTTAGAAGAAATATTAAAGAGACATAGGAGAGAAGAAAAACTAGTTTTAGAGAAACCCCATTTGGAGTAAGACCAATACCTAGCTATGTGGTTAATACCCTTAAAAATTGTACTATTTCTTAAAG